TTAAGAAGTCACAAATGGTCGGCAAAATAAACGGACATTTTTTATTTGGGTGTTTGTTATGTACTTTGGTTGTGTACTGAATGAGTTTTGAGCTACTGCCGTTGTTTTTTAAAAATATGCCAACGTCTGAATTTACAGGCCTAAGAGAAGCTGTCTCCTCTTATCTCGAGTTGTTGTTTGGGTGGGAGGAGAGTTCCAATAGTTGCTACGTAAAGTGACTATTTACTTTTTTCGCGAATCTGTACAGCACATGAACTGACACTGTAATACACGCACATACACACACACACACACACACACACACACATATATATATATATATATATATACACGTGTGAGTATGTATGAGTGTCAGTATGTGTAGGTGGGTGGGGTGGTAGAAATAAATGACAAAATGGTGAACTGCCTAGTGACGCAAATCATTCTGTGAAGGAAATTCTTCAGACAAAAAAAATGGTTTAAAAATAAACACAAAAAAACATTTATTTTTAGCATGAAAATAAAAAATCCATTCACTAAAGAAATTGTGTCACTAAACAGTTCTCTATCTTATTTTTTGCCCACTATTATTTCGATATTATATATATATATATATATATATATATATATATAGGTTAATAGTCATGGTTGAACTGGACCAGGAAACAGTAGTCTTAAAAGTTCTTAATACAAGAAGAAGAAGAAAGCAAGGGTATTATAAATGTATTAATGGGGGTTAATTGAAATGTATATATTTTTTTAACCAGCCTCATATGAGCTTAAGGGAATTTTTTGTATGAATTCAACGGCTCATGACTTCAGATCTCTGGTTCAAAAGGTATTTTGGATCCAGAAATGTCATTATTGCTAAATTTTCCTGTTTACAGGTGTTGCAAATTTGATTGTGGTTGTTGTAAGGCTACGCCTTTTTAAAAATGTTCCATCTTAATCGGATTCCTGTTATTTTTTTCTTTTAAATTCCAGACATGGTCAGCAACTTTGGTAGAGCACCTAAGACTTACTAGTTTGAATGACGACCTATGATTGTACCATCTATATTTGAAAGTAGCTTCAATACATCCTATGCACGTTTTATTCTGACCATTAATATCTGTTACTTCTGCTTTATAAATTATAGTTTCTGTTTTACAAGTTCCATTTAATGGACATCTGTTTTTATTTCTACAGTTACATAAATTACTAGTGTTAATTATATTTTGTTGCGCGTTAGTTTTAAAATTTATGTCGTTTTGTCTATTTATTACTATTTCTAAATTAGTAGTGCAGCTGTAACTTAATTTAAATGTGTTTTGGTTAAAAATCTTATGTAATTCTGAATTTTTGGATAAGTGTTTAGCAAGTAATTTGAAATATATCTTCTCTATTTTATATTTTAATTCTAAGTTAAAAGGTGGGTGGGTAAAAGGTTCTAAAACAAATGATATTTTTTCTTTTCCTCGAGTTGTTCTTCATATGTTGTTTAATTTGAGGTTTACAATCTAGTTTAGTTTTGTGACCCTCTACCTTTAAGTTAAAATGAAGAACTTAAAGGTAGAAATTTATTTTTAAAAATAATATAGCGCTCATTGTTTTTTTTTTTTTTTTTAAATAAAGCGTTGGTAGGTCAATTGATAAAAATCACCTGAGGATACCAAGGCAGCAAAATCAAATGATCTCCCAATTTTTAAAGTATATATATAAAAATCACACACACACACACACATATATATATATATATAAATAAATCACACACACACGTATATATATATATATATATATATATATATATATATATAAATCACACACACACGTATATATATATATATATATATAAATCACACACACACGTATATATATATATATAAAATCACACACACACGTATATATATATATATAAAAATCACACACACACATATATATATATATATATAAAAATCACACACACACACACATATATATATATAAAATCACACACACGCATATATATATATAAAAATCACACACACACACACATATATATATATATAAAAATCACACACACACACACACACACACATATATATATATATATAAAAATCACACACACACACACATATAAATCACACACACACATATATACATATATATATATACATATATATATATATATATATATATATATATATATATATATGAAATATATATTAAAACATATTTTACTATATGCGGGAGTTATATATCTATGGAAAATATGTTTCTTTTACTTCGTCATAGTATTTTTGTTGTGGTTTAAATCGGATTTATTATGTATGCTACTCTGATTAAATGTCAGTAATAATAATTTATTTCATCATCGATGATGTCATTAGAAAGGCCATTAATTTGTTTAATATTTGATAATTCTTTATTGAATATTGCTTGAGAGTAAGAGATTAATTTAACACGGCTGATAAGCGTTTTTTTATTACTGCTATCTTGTGCCGGTAAAGGCATTCGATTTTACAGTTAAGGAAACAGGAGTTAATAATGCTTGAATTTTTGCATGTTATTTAAAGTGATAAAGTTCTGATGAATATTATCAATGAGAAATGTCATTTCTTTTAAATTGACGCCGAGTTTGTATGTAAAACTAAGTGACTTTCAAAAGTTTGTTTTAGTTTTTGTATATGATCAAGACCTTTACGAGAAAAATATATCGTTGATGTACCGGACATATATATAGAGAGTTTGATTGTTGTATTTAAAATATTTTCAGTGTGCATTATATAATAAGAAGAAAAAGAAGTTCCTAAGGGAGTTCCCATAGCCACACCATCAGTTTTTGAGTATATATTTCTAAGATTATTATATACATGTTTCACACACACAAACTTTCTAGACTCCATCCGAAACATACTAGTAGAAAATACAAACATAATGCCCTCATCCACATGTGAAAAAAAAAAAAAGATTAAAAATAATGGAAATAAAGAAAAAGCCAACACTCAATAATATTAATTACGAACACGGCCACAATGTGCTGACTGTGTTCGGAAAATAAAACGCCCCCGTAACTCTAAAACATACACACAACCCATACAACTAGTTAAAAAGCAAAAATATAATCATCCTTGATAATGGCTAAAAGTGTAGCCAAAAGCGCTCAGAATTACCTAACAATTGAACAGTTTCTACACACTGTGTCCAGAAAAGCAAATACTTGTTCGAACACAAGAAAAATTAAATAAATAGCTTAATTGCAATACCTTGTCTGTCATCTTTAATGAAACATGTATAAATGAAGGATTGATACCTAAATACACAAGTTTATCATAGAAGAGAATTTATGTGGTCTATGCTAGCAGTGGTTTTCGTAGAAGGTTAGGTTAGATTTTGAAAGGCAGCATGATGGGATGGTGGGATGTCAATGTTATTATTAACAGAAACATTGGTAAAAAAAAAAAAAGATTGTAAACGGTTTGTAGAAGCCAACCCTAATCTACAACCCTAATCATGGCAAACAACTAGCCCCAAAATATCAGATATCTTCGGTAATGGGGAAAAAACACATTCCTCGAAAAGAAATCCCACTTCATTTATCAATTGTTATTATTCGTCTCGTTGAAAAAGGACACAGACGTGTCCGAAAATTCCAATTTTTAAAATATTTCTCATCCTGCTTCCATTTGGTCAAAAGGCCGACTAATATACAAGAAATATTAGCTTTATTATCAATATTATTGTTTTTTTTTATATCTCAAACTTCATTCACCGTCTTATTATATATATATATATATATATATATATATATATATTAATAGATTCACCGCAAGCAAGGCGATAATACTACTAAGACGCAAGGGGTTACTGGGAGTGAAAGAGAATGTGAAAACTTTAGAAGGAACCGGAAAACCAATCCTTAACAGGAAACAAGGGGTAACATCTACTCCTGTTCAAAAGCCCGGGGAGGAGGTTGAACCGGACTAATAAGTGAATCTATTTACTTCTATGAAGAAGAAAAATAGTAAATAAAAGTTCAGAGTTTAAGCGGGGACATTAGAAGTATAGAGTTGAAGTAGACTTTAGAAGGAACCGGAACAAGGGATAAACGTCTACTCCTGTTCAATAAGAGCGGGAGGAGTGTGAAACGGACGATAGGTCAACCTATCTACTCCTCTCTCTCTCTCTCTCTCTCTATATATATATATATATATATATATATATATATATATATACACACCGTAGATGAGAGTGGATCGGACGATAGGCAAACTTATCTACCCCTATACGTTTCGGCCTTATACACTCAGGTTTATATAGAGGTTGTTGTAATTTTATCTCATCCTCGTTGCCAAAATGTTGTAACCTAGGGAAGGTTATTGAATAGAATAATCACACGAAGGTTGATAATGAACGATAATACTTAGGACACGAACAACACATATAAGATTCGCCAGCGGCGCGTAGAAATAGTAGTCAACTGCTAGAAGTGAGTTAAGTGAATTCTACAATGAATCTCCAACTATAGAATATCTACCAACCGCCCCACGCGGTCAGATGTGGCACAAGGCCGAATTTAATGTGGAGTATCCGATCCCATGGTCTTGCCCAAAAATTCCTCGTAGACCCCGTATAAAACAGGGCCGGGTAGCTGTTTCCCGAGACGAGGCTGCTCTTTGACTAGGGATCCTCTCTGCCCCCGGGCAGAGAGTCTGACCAGCACAGCTGGAGACGAATCTCAAACTTCAGACCAACATACAGTATTTACTACTGTATTTTGGGGAATGGGGACATACCTATTATCGTCCGTAAACAGAGGTGTAGAGAGACAAACATTCTGACGACATTTATTTGACTATTTCATTTAAAGATATATCCCTACCAGATTAAATGACAATTCTGACTTTAATTTTGAACGAGACCGACAAAGTCAGTTGAATCTATCAAGCGGCTTCCAGAGTCTTCAGAAGATCCCTTTTAAATCCTTCGACTCCATCCAGTTAAATTAATATGTATAATAAAATACATTTGCCTAAGAGCCACTCAAAATGGAAGGGGGACTTACAGCCAAATCACGTTGAAACACCGGTTCCCGTACAATCATCGAACTTAAGCAATGTCAAGTCTAGTCAGTACCTAGATGGGTGACTGCTTGGGAATAGCAGGTGTTGTAAGTTTAGATGTGCGGGTGGTGTAATGGATAAGGGCTCGCAATTGTTAATCGGAGAACCGAGTTCTGATTCAAGTGGGGTTTGTTATATTCTCTTACGTGCAAATAATCTTGGGAAAGATATGAATCCATCTCTTCTCCCCCCAACTATGGGTTAATTAGTGATACGTATATCAATGAAGTATTATTATCTCAGGTGGGAAATTCTTGCTATCTAAAAGTATTTTCTAGATTTTAATAGCATGTAAAGAGTTGACAAGACGTAAAAAACAAATCCACCCGCCTTCAGTACTCAAAGTAATTGAATGAGGTTGCTGTAAAGGGCGATAAAAGATCATATTATGAGGATATGTAGGATAGATATAGGATAGATAGACTGGAAAAGATTAAGATCTTAATGATAAGGGAAGCTTCCTTTCAGAAGTAACAGTTGTTGGGAAGAAGCAGCCTGAAGATGATTTGACTCAGTCTATGTTAATATAGATTTTTACCTAGATATTTAAAAGACAATTTTACCTTATTGTATTGATCAAAGAAGCATCCAACAATTCTTAGGGAGAAACAGTCTGGGATGAACTTCCTCCTTACCAATGGAATATGAAGGGAATGAAAATGAGACGACCCAGTGTATGTATCATTGTGGGTTCTAGCTGTGAAAGTCTGAACTCGTGGAAAACACTATATACTTATTATATACTTACCTAGTACATACCGAGTAGGGTTATTATCTCTCAGAGTGCAGCTCAGTTGTGTCTATGTTCGCGGACAGAGATGCAGCTAAGGAAAAAATACTGTGAGGTCGTCGAGAAGGAGATCGGTAGTCATACGACAGTTGCGCAGGCTGGGCAATACTATATTACTTATCTGATGTGATCCTAAAATAGAGCATGACAGGAGATTTGTCTAAATAATATAATTTCAGGCTGTTGTTGAGTACCTTGATTACGTTTAGGTTAATAGAAAGAAATCACGCCCCCCCTTATCAATATAACGATATTGATTTTCTGTGCCTCACGGCACCAAATGGATCACGAAAAAAAAAAAAAAAAATAAAATGAAAAGCGATAAATGGCTTTTAACAATCGTATAATCGTTAACCGTTTCGTGTTTGTCTTGATTGCAACATTATTTGTAATGTCGGAGCCTTGATGCAAAAATAAAAATATCCTAACGGAAGTTCTCTCCCTGATGGCTGTAAATTAAAACTAAGAAAGGCTTGCACGTTTCTTTCACTGATATATATATATATATATATATAATTTGAAACAGAGATATGAACCTCAGGTTAAAAAAAAGAAAAGAATGGGTTCGCTCAGATAGGAACACACGGCACAGGTATCGACGAACGATAAACACATGATAAGCGTTTGTAAATAATTTTATATAACAAAAACAACAGAATATGGAAAGAGCATGGGATAACAGACGTAGACTCAATAAAACCTGATAAAACTGATACTGGGCGTTATTATTCTTGATTCAGGAATTTGTAAGTTCAAATGTTCATAATGGCAAACAGACAGAATCTCTCTCAAATGTCCAAATAAATGTCGGTAGTTCTTTCTGCAGTATAAAGTGAACGACTCTGGAATGGTACGCGTACATCATTTCCTCTCTGGTAATCAAATTACATCCAAGATGAAATTGGGACGATTTCTTCGGGTCTAGTATTCTCTTATTCTCTACACATCAAGTAGTCGGATAAATCCACGGTCTTCGGTAATAACATCGTTTAATTCACTACACATCAAGTAGTTGAATAAATCCAGGATCTTCTGGAATAATATCTCCTTATTCAATACACAAATACTAATATAATAAGTTCATTGGCGCATTTCTAATGAGAGCACGATGAGAGTCAATTGACTCGCACCTTGTCGTCGTCGGACATTATCGGGAAACTAAAATTACAATTCAAAATCCCACTTGGTGGCGCATATCACATGGCCTTGGGTGACCGACTTTTACTTACTTTATTAGGAAGCCAATCTGTCTAGTTGTCAAGCGACACAGATTCTTTCCCGTCATTCCTCAGTCGAGACAGGACTTGATTTAGACAGGAAATAAAGAAAGAAAAGAAGAAAGAAAAAGAAAAAACTTAAAGAAGGCGTGTCTCTTAATAAATTGATCATACGTCTGATTTAACATTCAACATTGAGCGCTATGTTATTATATATATATATATATATATATATATATATATAGTGTGTGTATGTGTATCAAAATATTTTTACAAACATTGGTGACGGGTTCCTCACACCAAAAAATGACAAGAATTCATATAAACATATGTCCGCAAATCCTTGGTATTTGAGTTATTACGTTTAAAGAAAGTTTACGGTAGATGGCGTTGTGTTGCCATGTAGACTTGTGTACATTTGTGGCTAGTTTTCTTCAACGTTTCATGTGTGTAGCAGTGGGTTAACCGAGAACTATTCCGTTTAACAATGGCAGGATATTCATATCGTGAGCAGACAGATGATTTTTACATATGGCTGCACGAATGGTAATGAACGGGAGGCTACACGGCTGTATCATATTGCGTTTCTTGGCCGAAAGCAGCTTAGTTATCCAAACTTTGCTGCTGTTAATCGTCGCATTGATGAGACAGGATCCGTGGCATCTCAAACTATGGATCGAGAAAGCCCGAAATCCGCTCGTACTCGGTTAATTAGTGAGACGTATATCAATAACGAAGTAACACATTCTACAGGCTGTCGGAGAAGATCCAGATCAAGTGACCCTCGCATCTCGTACATCTCATACCGCATGGAGGGGACTTCAAAGGCAGCTCATGTATCCGTATCATTTGCCACGTGTGCAGGGTCTATCGTCCTCTGATCACTCACCACGGGAGGACTTTTGTCGATGGTTTATTGTACAAACTGCCGATCCATTGTTTTTCGCTTCAGTCTTGTTTATTTACGGATGAGGCAACATTTGGAAGAGATGGAATAACAAATTTACACAGCCAACACTTGTGGGCGAATCGGAGTCCCCATTTTACAATAGGAGCTAGACACCTGCATCAGTTTAGGATTAATAAGTGGGCTGGAATTGTAGGTGACTATCTTACAGAAGCTGTCTACAGGGACTTTATTTCGAACATACATCCAGACCTACTAGAGGATGTATTCCTGCTAATACGAAGATGTATGTGTTTCATGCATGATGGGGCTCCAACTGAAGAAGGCTGGAAGGGACAGTAGTTGAAACGTTGTGAGTATAACCTCCAAGATGAGAATGCTGGTCCGAATGGCAAAGAATATAATAATGGTAATTCCTCATCTAAAGAATTCAGACTAAAATATTAAATCGGTAATAGCCGAAACGTTGTAAGTATAAAAACCAAGATGAGAATGCTGGCCTGAATAGCAAATCATAATGATAATTCCTCATCAAGAATTCAGAGAAAAATGATTAAATCTGTAATAGCCGAATCGTAGTGAGTATAACACCCAAGATGAGAAGGCTTCTCCGATTAGCAAAGAATATAATAATGGTAATTCCTCATCTCAAGAATTCAGACTAAAATGGTGAAATCGGTAATAGCCGAAACGTTGTGAGTATAACAACCAAGATGAGAATGCTGGTCCGAATAGAAAAGAATATAGGAATGAGAATTCCTCATTTAAAAATCTTCACAAAATACAATTTTAGTTAGAAAATTAAAGAAATAAGATACTTCCGTGGGTTCTGGTAAATAGCTGCCAATTAGAATACAATATTAAAAAAATCAATATCCTTGTTTTTCACGGGGCGAAAAGCTGAAAGTGATTAAAAGTTAACTGATGAGGTAAGATTTTTAGCAGGAAAAGTAGTTGACGATGTGCTAGCGGCACTAATCACGGCTAAAAATCTATTTTCTCGCATTTGCTGACGTTTCTTGTCTTTTCTGACAGGCGTTAATGTATTTATCGATCGATTAATGCGCAAATGGAGTCGGTTTGGATGAGCGCCCAGTAGAGTAATGGAGTGGCACGCTTGGGGATCTTGTCAAGTCTGGGTGGGGGAAAACGAAACGTTTTCTACCGTGGCAAGGTTCAGAGTTTGTTCATGCGCAGTAAACCCACGCGTATACAGTCATGCAGACTTCTAATAGCGTTCACCTTCTCATTCATAAAAATCAAAGACATAAAAATTAAACGCCGATACGCGCATAGATTAAACGATAACACCCCCCACCACCTCGCGGAGAAGCGGTGTTATGCAAGCAAATCCTTTAAACTATTGCCTGGTGTAGTGATTTCAATTTACAGCTGCAGAACTGTGTCAAAGTAAAGTTTACTAAATATCTGATCGCTAGCTGAGAGTGATGTTTAGAAAACTCGTCTTGCAAACTTTCATTTACCATTTCACCCCAGGACATTGGCGATCATGATTCTCTCAAACTTCCTATTCTTTGCAATGTTTGATTTTTTTACTGTTCCGACCATTCTCTGTATTGACATCAATTTAAACAAACTCGTTAGACAGGTTCCCTTTTGCCTTCAAATTCTCCAAGCCTTTTTTCTTCAATATGTAAATGTGTTCGAGAAATTTCGATTGTCTCTTTCTGAGTCAGTGTATAAGTGGCCCTTTTGATTCCATTTTTCCTAACAACTTCCTCGTTACACATACTGTCACCTCTATAATGCTCCCCTTTTGTAGAACCACATTTTTGTTGCCTCTGAAGACTCGAAGAAATTCTTCTGCAGTCACTACCGTATAAAGAAGATTGATACTTACGTACCAGTTCAGCAGTCATTTCTTTGTTTCTAACAAAATTTTCCAGTTTCTTAATACAGACAAATCTAATAGGGGAGGGGTCCGTTAAAGCCGATTGCCCGTAGATTCAACTGAATTATCACCAGCCATAACGGATTCTGCTATTTCCTCCATGGAAGGAACTTGGTAACTGGTGTTGAACGTACCACTTGTATGCCACTTCTTCCAGTTCCTTCTAACTGTTTATTTCTTTACTCCTCGTACACTTTTACGATCGAAACTCCAGCCTCTAATTTA